GGAAGGAAGGAAGGAAGGAAGGAAGGAAGGAAGGAAGGAAGGAAGGAAGGAAGGAAGGAAATCTATAGATCTGATCATTGATTTGAACATGTAGGTTCAGTCTAATAACAGCAACCACATTCTATTTCCCTTCATGCATAATGTTATTTGTATGGATATAAAGAAGACCCACTTTTCATAGATTTCACAAGCCTCTCTAGAAATAAACATTACTTGCAGTACTTCTCACTCTGTTCCTCACTAGTAGCCCTATTCATGAATATTTCTACAGCAATATAACTTTAAAGATTTGATCCACTAACTGGAATATGTAACTTTTTTCAGTTATTCCATATGCATAATTTGGTAAATTGGGGATAGAAAGTTAGAAGTAGAAACAAAAGCTGAAACTTCTCTGAATTAGATCACTTCTTTTGTAAGAAAATATTGTGCAAAGTCAGTTTCTGCATGAGTAAGAAAATATGTGAATCTTTTAGCAGCTTTTCTAAAGTTGATTGATGTGATACTTAAATGTAGCTAGTGTTTCTTTTCTGTACTAATGCAGAGCTTCAGGGTTTAGATATCTTATAAACTCAGCAGATTATATAGTTATGGCTGACATTCCTCCTCCTACATTTTTTAAATATAATAGCATGTTTTATGGAAACATAATTACATTTCTTTTGTCAATAAGTGTTTAAATGAAAAACAGAATATCTTTTAACAATTTTGCTTTAATATCTGCCAAGATGTTTGTGAAGCCCAGCCTGATAAACATTTATTCAGGAGCAGTTCCAAGACAGACCGATACAGCTTTCTCCCATGTGGCTATTCATAGGACATTAATCACATGGTATTTAATTTGATTTGAATTTATCATCAAATGTTGGGAATTTGGAAGAGTAGTTATACTGCAAAGTATAGATAATTAATATTTTTAAATTTTACTTCTTTGTTTTCATGAATTACCTTCCACACCTGCTCGTAGTTTTGTTGGCTGCAATAAAAAAACTACCAAATTCACTTCAAAGTTTTTCATTTTAAAATCAACTTCTAAAATTAATTGATGAGTTTCAATAAATATAATTTTAAATATCACATTGTTCACTAGCCAAATAGCTGAATGTTTTCCTTGCCAACAGTGCTCTGAAGTATAGTAATGCTGTCATGAGTTGTTGCAATTATATAGTGTCATTGGAGATGCTCTTTGTCTCTAAAGGTAGTAGATTATATTCATATTGAAGTCAATTTGATGTTGACTTAAACTGAATGCCTTTCAGTGAAATGAATGGGTTCACACAAACTCTAAATCATCAGGATTTGACCCAAAATGTCGCCTTATATCACCTTGATCTTAACTTGTGGCAATGCTAAGGTGTATAGAAGAGCACATAGTACATCTCTGCTTCGCGAGCTGCATTGGCTGCCAGTTTGCTTCTGGGTCCAATTCAAGGTGCTTTAAAGCCCTTCATGGCATGGGGCCGGGTTATCTGAGGACCACCTCTCCACAATCACATCAGCCCATCCCATTAGATCCAGCAGGGAAGGTATGCCACGTGTTCCAAAAGACAGGGACTTGTATTTGGTTGGTACCAGGAGGCAGGCCTTCTCTGCCTTGGCTCCCTCCTTGTGGAACATTCTCCCCCCCCCGAAGTGAGGCTCGCCCCTTCCCTGCTGTCGTCTAGGAAGTCCCTCAAGACATGGTTATGCCATCAGGCCTGGCAGTCATTGGGAACCAGAGACATTCTTAGATAGCTCCCCTGTGATTGATATTCTGATCTCTTCGTGGGATTTGTATATTTTAAAATTTAAAATTTTTAAACTTTTTGATAATGTTTGCATTTTAATAATCACTTTTTAATCTTACATAATGATTGTTTTTATCCATTTGTTATTTTATTCAGAGTCACGTTGTGTGAAATGGGTGACTATATAAGTGTGATATATACATACATACATACCTGATACTACTAAGGTTGACTTAATTACTTAATTAAAAGAATGGGTCATCTGAGTTGTTATATAACTGTAAATGAATCCACAGTACACAAAATTGTTACTGTATTCTCCCTTGTTTTTAATTATTCTAGAATCAGCCAGCCTGGCCTCTAGACATTATGGGTTCCAGAAGTAGAGACTCTTCAAGTCAGAAACTATTAGAAGATTCACTGGCCACAAAAGAACTACAAACCATGGAAAAACACCTCTCTGGTAAGTGATATGCACAAGACTTTAAGACTTTTCTTTTAGAAACCATGCAGTAAATGTTTTGGGTGAATATGATAAGAAAAGGTTACCTGAACTGCTGTGCTACTCTGTTGTTTTTAAGACAGGCTCTGACAGTAGGTTGCATACAGCAATCAAAGGAAACAACTACCTTACACATATATTTCTATATCTCAGAATATTTCCCTGCCAGTGAATCTATAAGATACTAAAAGTCTCACGTCTGATGGTAGCCTTCAGCTGGGTGAAACTGTGCATCATAGGGCAACAGTGTTTCAACCAAAGTGCCTCAAATGGGCTAACTTACAGAATGCAACCAAAATCTGGGACCCGTTACTCCTATGGGATTGAAATTTGGGAAAGTTATTGCCACTTCGGTGCTGCCACGCTGCTGCTGCTTCAGCACTGCCACGGTCAGCCACGGTAACATGATCTTCCTTTCCAAGGCTCCCTGATAGCTTTCCACAAATCAAGGGGGAAGCTGGCAGGAGGTCTAAACTTGATCATGGAGGGTGCGCGGGTGGGGGAGACTTACAAGGGAGGGAGGGAGGGAGGGAGATTTCCAACGCTCCCTGCCAACTTCCCACAAGGAAAGTCAACGAAGAAGCTGGCAGGAAGTTGGAAGTCATTGCCGTTCCCACTTCTTTTTTGCCCACCCATGGTCATTCTGTTTCTCTGTTTAGGTAAAGAAATATTTCTGAAATGATGGCCCAACGGGTCACAGATTGTCTAGTTCTTATTATTAGTGTTAGGCAGCACTGCATACATTTTCCCAAATAACTCCAGAAAACCCAGATTTTGAAGGTGATAATTTTCCCTCAAGCCATTTGACTTTTATCCAGAGCATGAAGAATAATCCTTAGGTTCTTAGTTTTGCTATATTTACATGACCAAAATTGTCATGAGAAGGTATGACAGATGTAAGCACCATCAAGGAATGAAACCTAATTGTCATGGAATCTATCTTAAGCATCATCACAGAATGTTTCTTTATTAAGTTCTTGTTGCTACCATGTTCTAGAAAGCAAATTATTCCAATTGCTTATCCTTAGTTTCTATAGTTTAAAAGTCCTAAAAAATGAAACTACTGTATGAATACTTCTTAAGAACAGAGGAAAACTGAAATACACTGTTAGTTAATATCTAATACAAATGTCTATAACCAAAAGTAATTATATCTGGTATTTGTAAGTTTTTTAGGGTCATTATTGGAGACAGAATGCAGGTATAATTCTGCTAGCAAATTCATACATTTTATTATAATTTGGGTTCTGTTTTGAGCTGTTATTAGCTAAAAGAGACAGAAAAACTTCTTAACCTGATTTTATTCTTATATGATCTTCAATACATCTGCTTCCTGGCCTGTGTTGGTGATATTTAAATGGTGGCAATAACTATGCAACCCTATTCTTCCTACTTGACCAACACTAGCATAGGAAAGGCGGTGTTTCATCAACTCTTTCTCTGATTAAAATCTATATATTTTATTAGGCTGTCCTTGGGAGGCAGGCAATAAAGATTATTTTTAAAACGTGAAAAGGTTTTAAGGGGCTTCCATTAACTATTGATCTTCTCACCTTGCCTATCTGAGTTCTTATTGCTACTTGCCCTTTCCCCAGCCCATAGAGACATTCAGGCTCTGATGTTTAAATATTACCTTGGCATTCACAATGAACATTGGAAAACATGGGAAACAGCATTCTTTGTTATTTCCAATAGTAATATTCTAAGAATGCTTTTTTTTTTTTGCCAATAACGAAATGCTACGCTTCCTTTTCAAGTATCCAGCAATTAGTTAGGATCTCTTGTTATCCTCACAGCCTCTTCATAGTTAATAAGGTTGCTGTATAATATTCTGTAACATGTACTTTCTCCCATTCAATGTCATTGACATGAGCTTATTTAAAACAATGAATCGGCCAAATACGTGCTCAGATAAGTATTTACTGGCACTGTTCTCTTTGAAATGCTTTGTTTTTCATTTGTGAAAGTTGATGTTAAAAATCAGATACATTCTATGCTAAATAAATGTAAACAGTTTTGTACTTGAAAATGGTTAAATTAACTGTGGAGAAATGATTTAAATGCTTTGCTTATCAGCAGAACCAATCAGTTTTTGCAGATAACTGAAGCTGAGCCAAAATTCTAATGGTTATTGAAACTCACTGAAACATAAATACTACATTTTTCCAACATACCATCCCACATTCACTTCAGATAAGTCATGAACCAAGCCCTTTGCAAAAACACAGGTTAATTTAATTGAAAGAGGATTCATGCACATTTGGTTTAACTTATAGCATCCATGTTATCATCTATTAAACCAAGATTTTTAACAGGTATTCTACAAATTTCAAGTGATATATATGTTTAAGAAGGGGTTGCATGTATATTTTAAAAACTTAATTCAAGGAAAATTATTAAAATGTTAACATAAAAATAACTCATTTGAAAATAACTTGAATGAGATCTTCAGATTATATCATTACAAGATTAAAGATGCAATATGAAATACATATTCGTATTGAATAAAGGATATTTTAGTGGTGTCTACCTATAGAACAAAATATAACAAGGCTGTGTATCATTAAAGAAAGATTCAGAATAATTGTTTTATTTATTTATTTATTTATTTATTTATTTATTTATCATATTTATATAGCCGCCCATTTCACGCCAAGTGACTCTGGGCGGTATACAACAGTTAAAAAGAATAAATACATAAAAACAATTACAAGTAAAAAACTATAAAAGCACACAAAATAGGAGGGTATAAAATTAATAAGGGAGCCAACGCAAAATCTCCCAGGGCTGATCACATAGCCAGGTCTTGAGGGACTTATGGAATGTTAAGGGGGGTTGAGCTAATCTCACTTCTGGGGGTGAGAAGATTCCACAAGGCAGGCACCAGAGCAGAGAAGGCCCACCTCCTGGGACCCACCAAATGTAATTCTCTGGCAGACGGGACCTGCAGCATGACTTCTCTGCCAGACCTGATGGAATGGGCAGATATAATCGGGGAGAGGTGGTCCCTCAAGTAACCCAGCCTCGTGCCATGAAGGGCTTTAAAGATCAAAATCAGCACCTTGAATTGGACCCAGAAGCAAACTGGCAACCAGTCCAGCTTGCAGAGCAGAAGTTTAACATGTACCACCCTAGGGGCACACATAACTGCCCGTGCTGCTGCATTTTGCACCAGCTGAAGCTTCCAGATACTCTTCAAGGGCAGGCCCATGTAGAGCGCATTACAGAAATCTAAACAAGTGGTGACTAGGGCATGAGTGACAGTGATTAGGTCCTTCTGATCTAGGAATAGGCACAACTGGCACACAACACGAAGCTGTGCAAAGGCCCTCCTAGCCTCGATTGCCACCTGCTCTTTGAGCAGGAGTCATGAGTCCAGGAGGACTCCCAGATTGCACACAGGTGTAACCCCATTCAATACCAAAGATGGCATAGCCCTAGTATCAGAAGGCCCCAAAACCCAAAGCCACTCAGTCTTGCCAGGGTTCAGCTGAAGCCTGTTGTTCCCCATCCAGACCCTCACAGCCTCCAGGCACTAGGATGAGACATTCACAGCCTTGCTTAATTTGCCAGGGGCAGTGATGTATAATTACCTCACCCTATGGTGATGGATGAGTTCACCCAGCGGCCTCATGTAGATGTTAAATAGGAGTGGGGGAGAGCACCAAACCCTGCAGCACCCCACATAACAAGGGCCGAGAGTGGGATCTCTCCTCCCCAACCACCACCGGTTTTGGACCTCACATGAGCACAGAATCTCATACAGTAATTTTGATAATTTTGTATAACAAAATATTGACTTGATCAGAGACCCTTTGAGATCTTATTTATCAAGTTTGTTCATAATGCTCTTCAACTGTAATTTTAAAACATCTAGCTTTAAAACAGTAGGCATTAATGGACAGTGCCAGTAATGCTTATTGCAAAAACCATACTTAAGGTTGCCTTTAAACTCTTCTGATTTTCTGTGGTCATGGAATGGGAAAACATGGAAGTCATTTAGTCCAACTTTCTGCCCACAGCATGACCTATTCATCCACCAAATGGCCACAGAGTAGCCTCTTTGATTTCTCCAGCGCTACCTCTAAAATAAAGATTCCCTGTGGAATGGTGTATGACCATTTCAGCCTGAAAGGTTGCATTGGGAGAGGGAATTTGGAAAATTTACATTGCCAAAGAGGAAGCACATTTCTGCTTGTATGAGCCATATTTGAGACCAAGCCACTGAATAGATAAATGGAGGAGAGGGTAACTCCAGCTGGACCATCCTTATATCTGTATGTTGAACCAAGATGTACATATGTAGACTTCTCTATGGAATTTTACTTCTCATGGTCATAATTGTTTGTGTGAAAACACAAAGAAAGCCTATTTGCTCCAAGTGGAAATTGGAGTTTGGCTAGGTGGCACTCTCCTGCTCCTCTTCATTGTACTTATATGTGGAATTAAATCTGAGGATTCAGTAGTTCTAGAGTTTACTTTGGATACAGTAAAGATAAAAAGATGGAATATAAAGTGAAATTAAATAAAGAATAAGTGATAGGGTTGGAGATATCAAATGGCATATCAATAATATGGCAACAACTGCCTCATAAACCTGCTCATGATCAGCGGGGAGAAAGGAGCATGAATGGATTTGACATAGCAAGTAAAAAAAGTCTGAGCTGTTGACCAGGTAACAATATCCCAACCTGTGATTCTAGAGAACTATCTTTTCTTCCAAGATTTTTTATCTACAGCTTATTGCTTGATAGGATGCATTCAAGGCTGGAAAGTTTTGACTAATCAACTACCTTGAGCAAAAATCTGAAAATACAATTGAGAATGAAAGAACCCTTTAATAAGGTTATTCCCATTTGAGGGCAGAGTTAATAGTTAATTTAACTATTGCCAGATTGTCAGACAGCCCTTAAAATATGAAAAGTCTGCTTATTAACCATTTCCTGCTTTACAAATGACTATGGGTAGGAGTATGAACCAACACAAGATTTTGTTAAGAAACTGACTGCGTGGAAACTGTAGGCACAGGAAGTGATTGAATCATACTGCCAGATTACAGAGAAACAAGTGCAGAGCTTTTCAATTATTTAAAAGAGGAGCTATAACATGTTTGTGTATGGTCATGTGTGTGCACATATATCTTTATTTATATCAAGGTTGCAGGCATATTTTCCCCTACCACATTTCAAAATACATTTAACCCTCCTATTGTTTAATCTGCAATTTCTGGGAAGAGTGATGAAGACAAGAGAACTATTCTATATTGGTACAGGCTGAAAATAACCAAAAACTTATCAAGGGATATTGACAACATTTTGAAGTTTGGTTAATGTATTCATGTCCCCCTTTTGGGGGTTAGATGAATATCTAGTAAATGTCATCTTTTTGGAGTTCAGTAAGAAGTTGATGAAATGCAAAGTTTATATGAGCTGCTGGATTATGATAATCTAATTTACATAATCTTTGGATATGGAGCCAAAGCTGAGGAAGGGGAAATAATTATGTTAACTGTTCATAAATCTGTTTTTTCAACCTTTAAAGATAATTTATGAGTTTGTGATTAAGGTGTGTTTACTTCTGGAAAGGAAGTCTGAGACAAAATGGTATGAATAATAATTGATGTACTTTGGGGAAATAATGAAGAAGGATGAGACATTCCAAAAATGGTTTATCTTGTGTATGCATGAAGACCATGGACTCACTTTGAATCTGTATGATACTTCTTCCTGGCACCCCTTCAAAAAGCATAAGAATTGATTGGAATGGGCTGATTGATTAGAGAGAATGAGAAATCAAAAAGAAATGTAACCTCTTCTCTCACACTGAATCTATCAAAGAACTTCAAATGTTCATGCTTAGGAGAGAACAGTGTACAGTAAACATGCAAAACCCAACAGTGCTAAGAATGGGAAACTTTGTCTCTTGTACACTGACATATTTCACATATTAAAAAAACAAAGCAGATTCTTTTTTTCCTTTTCAAAATATGACTTTCTCTGGATTTCCAAAGCACCAAATCATTGATTTCATTTCAGTGGGAATCTCATCATAGATTCTCCCAGAAGCAGCCCAATTTGACTGGGAACTTGGGAGTGGTTTCATAAGAGTGATGCCTCAAAAGGCATTTAAACCTTTTTAGTTGAAAACAACTTGACTTTCCTAATAGCAGAGTGTATTAACCATTTGTTTGTGTTAGAATGAAGCTGATTATATATATTATATAGCTTTTCTTGTTTTTCTTCCATTATATTGCTTAATTTTTGCTATATACAGACATTGCAAAGGACCTAGCGCTGTGGGAAGAAGGAAGGCTATCAAGAAATACCACTGGACAATCAACTCATGTAATTCCACTAGATCACCAGGGAAATTTTAAAGTTACCCTCAGCCAGGATTCAGGACCAGTTCAGAGTGGGAAAGATGTTCAGCTCCAGTTTCAAAAAAACAAATCACCACCATTATCCAGTAACAATAGCCTGCTAGTCTCCAGTGTCACAAACAGTAGACCTCAGTCTTCCAATACACAGACCAACAGATCTTCTGGGCTGCCAACTCTAGTAAACAGGTCTGCAACCCCAAATACTTTGTTACAAAGACCTGTTTCCCCTAACAACCAAGGAAACAAAGAAGGAACCATTAGTATGCAAAGAAGCCAGTCTTTAATATCAAAGAATCAACTTGGAAGGACCATCAGCACTCCTGCAGGGCATCCTGAAACAACTGGAGTTGCTCTAGGAAATATCACTCAAAGAAGCAGTATGTCTGAAGTAAGCTTTTTGAAAAGAATTATAATACTATAAAGCTGTAACACCACTTCACTCTTCTTTCTGTATTAGCTTTATGATTATGCTCTATTGCACTTATCCTTGATTAAGATTAATTAAAAGCAAAAAATACCAGGTAGATCGGAATGAATTCTTTATCACATTATTTATATTTATTATAATTTAATGCTACTTGCTGGTAGCACTTTTAATTGCTCCCAAAATTCTGTGTGTAGATGCATCACAAACACACATGCATCACAGTACATAGCGTGCTATGTATGTGTGTCTATTTGTGTATGCATTTATAGAATTACTCTATGTTTCTTTTCTGTGTTTGGCTTGAAAATTAAACATAGTGTCTGAATGCTTTGTTTTTGTGAAATATTGGCTTTTGGTCTTCTAAAGAGATTCATATGCCTGCTCCTTTCTTTCTCAACACAAACTCTTGTGGCATAATGATTTATCATCCAGTAGGTTTTTGGCGTTCCAGGGGCTATGTCCATAGCCAACAACCAAGAACTAGTCCTTAGCTCCTCCTACTCATCTGTTGGTTTAATGCTAGATTTGGAACTGTAGTTGTATCATAGAATAGGTTGGATCTCCTGGAGAAAAGATATCCTAAGCAGTCTTTAGTTCTATCATGCTTTAATTAGCAATTTAGTCTCCAATTCTGTATTCTAACCATGCATGCTAAGCTGTGCTATAAAAAGTGCATAGCACTTGAACAACACAATTCAGAACAGTTTTTATCATTTAGTTTCCTTGTTTTCCAAAGTAGGGGCCTCTAGCACACAGTTTTCCATGCCCCATTTCTAATAGATGAAATGCTTTAAAACTCTTCCTTTCCTTATGGGAGAAAGCTCATTATAATCAGGTTTAAAAAAACAAAAAACAAAACAGGAATACGTGAAGAATTTGGCAAAGATTAGCATGTCAGCTGCAAAGTTCTTTTTGTAAAAAGTCCAAGATTTTAGTTTTGCTATCCTGTCTGAAAGAATTATAAGTTGCCTGATGATCTGAGTGCTTCTATTCATGCCCTCAGTTCTGTTGGCATGGAAAATGCAATAGGGAACTTGCAGGTGTGTTACATTACTAGCTCAGTTCAGATTCAAACCAAGCAATATAACCTAGATAAATGTTTTTGTTATTGCTACATAATGTATAAACCTATGGTTTAAATTCTTTTCTACACGCACTTATACACGTTTAGTTTTTAGTCTTCAAATCTTTCTCCAACTGCAAGACAGATATGTCTGTGAATCGTATCATTACTGTTTCCTTCAGCCTTTTATGAAGTGTAGATTCTTAATGCTTTATCTCTCCAGAACATTATTTGTTGGAGTCTGTGATAGTATCTGGATATTAGGTTGGCAGCGGGGAAAAAAAATACCCAAGCAACATGCTTTTGTTTTCTAGTTTGCTGTGTTTTGCTACTAATATTGAAAGAGATTCTATTTTTTGTGTGTTTGTTTGAACATTGGACATTTAAACAGTTGAACATTTATTTGTTTTAATGTCCATTTTCCTTCCTCAAGGGCATAGGGAAAGTCAAAGCAAACTTATAGGAAAAAAAAACCCCAATGTCTCAGGACATTGCAAATGTCAGTTGGCAGGTTGCACAAAACTGTACACTAGCTTGCAAGTTACTCTCTGGATTGCAAATCAGGGCTTGCATAGAATGGGGTGAGAATCTTTGGAGTAAAATTAGGCTTTGAAAGGGAAGGAAATGAGAGAGTGATTGGGCCATTCAGAGATTCAAGAATGAATGAGAATGGTGACTGCTTGATGGGTATCTGCTTAGAAAAAAAACCTGTTTATTGATTTAAGTATAGGTCAATTCATAACTGCAAAGGAATCAATAGAAATCTAAAAGTATGATTGATTTGATTTTTTTAAGATGAAAGATTAAGTGCATTAGTGAAGGATAGATGGATAATGAGATTTTTGGAATGAACGTCCATTTCTCAGTGGTGTCAAGGGTAACTTAGGGAAAAATAAACAGGGAGAAAAGGAAAGAGATGAAAGAAACTACAGTGAAAGGAGAATGAGAGCAGAGAGAAAACTACAAATCTTGTATGCAGAGGTATTAAGAGCATACTGTAGGTTTACACCCAACACAGTGAATGTAAAGAAAGAGAAAATAGAAGCTACTTGGAACTGAGTGAAAGGAATTACGTACATAATGTCACAACAGTGTGTGGATGTGATGCTCATGGTGAGTATGAAAAAAGTATGCTTGATAGAAGGATCAAGTGAAAAAGGCTCCAGATGAGAAACACACATATAAAAATGCTGTAAAAATGAAAATGAGAAGGATATAATGTGGTGTAGAAACAAGTTCAATGAACTTAGTGTAGATTTGTTTTAATATTATTTGCCTGAAATTGCTGCACAAAGTGCTTTATAAATCTCAGATACTACTTTATTTTCATGAACAAAAGTCTATTTAATAAGAACTTCTTTGCTTGTTTCCCTTTTGCCTAACTCACTGCACAGTCACTGCATTATAAACCAGTGTTTCTCAACCTTGGCAACTTTCAGATGTGTGGACTTGAACTCCCAGAATTCCCTAGCCAGCTGGCTGGGGAATTCTGGGAGTTGAAATCCACAAAGCTGAAAGTTGCCAAGGTTGAGAAAGATTGCTCTAAACCAGTGTTGTCCAAACTTGGCCACTTTAAGATGAGTGGACTTCAACTCCACTGGCTGGGGAATTCTGGGAGTTGAAATCCACAAAGCTGAAAGTTGCCAAGGTTGAGAAAGATTGCTCTAAACCAGTGTTGTCCAAACTTGGCCACTTTAAGATGAGTGGACTTCAACTCCACTGGCTGGGGAATTCTGGGAGTTGAAATCCACAAAGCTGAAAGTTGCCAAGGTTGAGAAAGATTGCTCTAAACCAGTGTTGTCCAAACTTGGCCACTTTAAGATGAGTGGACTTCAACTCCACTGGC